TCTATATATGGGTATATAATTGAAATGAGTAATCTGTTAGATGGATTATGAATTATTTATCTTCTTGCTAATAATTTTCCAATTTCGTAATATAAGTGGTGTTTTTTGACGTTGCAGAAGGGAGGCAGGCAGAAGCTGCTCGCATCCTAGAGAAGTATCCTGATAGAATACCAGTATGAATGTTCATCAGTATTTCTGTTAATTTTTTCTACTATCTTACTCTCATATATACTAAAGTCATAATATTGATTAATTTTTTGTGTGGGTAATTGTCGATAGGACTGAGAAGAGTGATGTGCCTGACATTGATAAGAAAAAGTAAGTTCTCTACTTACTTGGACAACATTGAAGATTTTCATTTGTGTAATTGGTTTATTATGGAGTATCTTATATATAAATTTTGTTGTAGTTTCTCCACACCTGGTTTTCTTGATTTTTTATTTCTTTCCTTAGTTGAAAGTGCTTGGCAATATTTGACTGTTCCATTATGTGTTACCCGTTACTACAAGTTAAAATTCTATTTTTGTCAAATACAGAAGAGATGTGTTAGAAAATTTGTAATTTGTGATTGAAATTGGTTGTGGAGTCTTGAGGCTTGCGGGTCATTCATTTCACTGCAGTCTATTAATATAGGATTATATATTGTAGTTGAATAAAAGCAATCATTTCATGGTGCCTTAAAGGGGCACAATTAGTATTTATTTCATGAGTTTTATGCCTATATGCTTTAGAATTTTCAGAAAAAATTGGTCAATCTCAAAGCAAAGACTTCTGCAATCTTTTTCCCATCATACTAGATAATGGTGTCTTTGTAATAGATTGTCCAAATGAAAAAGATGATGGTGTCATTTTAGTAGATGAATTTGTTTTTTAACAACGGAAATTTTTGAGAGAATGAAGAAATATTATTTTTGTTATACATTACCAATCCATCTAGTGGTGTTAGTGCAAAAATCACACTTTTTAAAAAAATAGTGATGTGAAAAGGAAACTATTCATAAGGTGATGGCGTGACATTTTTCTTTGCACATACCAATTTTTAAATCTTAACACTAAAAGGAAGCATTTGGAATTGTGGTTGGTAATTTATTT